AGGGCTTTGCTGGGGAATTACAAACATGGCTAAGCTGGATGACTCACCTGTCGATAATTGACTCAGTTTTAGCAAAAATGGCGACAATTTTCATTTAAAACAGAAAAAAAGAGTAACACGTTGTGCATTTGTAGATGGGAAAGATGTCTGCTTATCTCCCGACAGGATTTGGAAAAAATTGATTTATCAGCTTACTAAACATCACGATCCGCTGCTACAGTTGGCTGAAAGCTTATTATAGAAGGCAGGTACTAGATGGCATGTCACCCAATCAACTTTAAGTATTGTTCTAAATATCCCTCCTTTTTACGGACAAACTGAACGGCAGCCATCCCAGATTGATCAAGTAGAACTCAACTCAGTTCTACACATATCAGTCTGGCTACTGCCAGCTTAGGGGGACTAGGGTCTTAATAAAGTCAGGATATAAACATACCATACTTACAAAACATTAACCTTACAATGGTTGGAATGGAAACACACTCACTCTGACTGACTCCCCAATCTGGAAAGCTGCGTGTTTGCCTCCAACTCCAAAGTAGGATATGTCACTGTTGAGACTACGTGGCACAGGCTCAGGGCTAACATATCCCTGTTGGTCACTAGATTCCCAAAAAGATTTCAAAGAAATAAAATATGACGGAGATATTTAAAAGGTAAAGATCTATTTGGAAAGTCAACGGCCTACCTTTTAAATGTGCTGTTTTCCCTTGTGAACTTAGAGAGTCTATAGACAGCCCAGTTATTGAGCTGCTTCGAGGTCATCCCACACCCGTTGTCCAAAACGATGACTGCAGGTTTTTTGTCAAACATCTTTCGAAAAAAAAGTCCATGAATGAGTTAAATAAATTCCCATTAGGCATAACATTACAACAAATATGATCCAAATGTTAAGATCACATCATATCTGCTATGAATAATATAGATCAATTGAACCAACCAGACGGATCTCTATCATCCTGACTCCTGTGTTTTTAGCAGTGGCCGAAAGAGAATTGTCCACCAGCTCAGCAAGAGAACAAGCTGGAGGGGGGAGCAAAACATAGAAATAAGGAGCTATAATCATTGGTATGTTCATATCTGCAGCCTCATTAACCACAGTAAAAACTCACGCAGTGCTTCCTGTCCCTCGGCGAAATACTCGAAGGTTCCACTCTCAATCAACGTGTTGTAGTGAGGAACAAAGTGGATAGACTCCTCCACTGCAACTGCCAGGTCTTGGTGTTGGTTTTGCAATAAATAGAGAGTGCTGCCATTCTGAAGCTCCTCTGCAGCAAAGGACAAATGCAATATATATTTTGTTATCAGCAGCATTGGGATTTTAGTGCTGTATTCGCAAGTTTTCTGAAATTTCAGGAAAGATTTACTCACTAAATTTTCCATAGTCAACAACTGTCCGGTCAGTTGTTACCAACACAAATTTCTGGTTTAAAGGGATGACAAATTCCTGTGGGACAAAAAAGAAAAAACTTCCTCAAGCTTTAAATATGACATTAAATTGATAATAAGGGCCATACTTAAGACCATTTTGTTTTAGTAAAATAAAACATCAATGAAATAAAGTAATATTATAAAGAATAAAGCAGTGATTTTAGCAGCAAACTTGTGATGCTTTACTGAGAAGAAGGTTTAATTGAGTTTTCAGCATCTAAAGTGATCAGCTCAGCCAAACTGCTCTACTGTAGGCCTAAGCATTTGAACACAAGGGGGGAAGTCTGCTTACACAAGATGAAGCTACTTCTTTATTTTCATAATGTTAGGACTTTATTCTTTTAATGTCTGAGTTAGGGCTGAAACAATTAATAGGACTAATCGATTATTGAATTAATCATAAACTAATTGTTAGGCGGGGTGTAGAGACTCTTAAACATGCCTTTAGCAGAGAGAAAGACCAACTTAGAGCAGTAATTTTAACAAGATTGTAAAAAATATATAAACATTTTGCATTTAAGATTAAAAATATATATATATTTTTTGTAAGTCAATATGCTCTATCTAGAACTATCAAAGTTGGAACCTTTTGCTATCCGATTATGAATCGATTTGCAGAATAATTGTTAGTTGCAGCACTAATCTCTATTACCCATCAGTCTTCTTTATCAACAACATCTTAACCAAGTTAAACTCCTTTCACGCCTGGATGTACAAAGCAGAACTACTTTGGTGTGATATGCAGCAGGTGCAGGGCCGGACCAAGGCATAAATCAAGTAAGCCACTGCTTAACGCTAGGGTACCCATATTAATAAATTATTTTTGCATGTGATTTCTATATAAATATAGTAACAAAAACACACACAATCAGCTAAAATTGTGCATTTCTTTAAAGCTGTTTTTAATCTAGTAGATCTCTTTAATTGTACATGAAAGAAAAAATATTGATATTTGGACAAATTTGACACAGAGATGAGGAAGTAATAGTGTATTCCAAAAAAACAACAACAATCCACTCGACTTTGTATCTGAGTTTGAAGTCGTTTTGCTTCCCATCCAGGAAGCTTTTTCAATTCAAAATGTCAGAAAAAGCGTTGATCTGGTTGGTTTTATAGAGTGGACCAACTCTAATGCAAAGATGAGCTAAATGTACTCTCTTATTTCTGCAGATGTCTGCACCCTCACTATGCCTGCTGCATCTGCAGAGCTTTTCACAACTCCACTTTTATAAGAGTGAAGCGTCAGTGATTGGTAATATTCTCTCGCAGTTATATCATGTGTGAATTTGCAAACAGCATTGAAGAAGAACCCTGGAACGTCAATGTATGTGTGAGTAAAGGTAGTTTTTGTTTTTTTAAATAGTTTTTTTTTTGCATGTGTTCACAAACATTTACATATTTTAAAGAGCTAGTCGCGCAATATTTAAATGTCATTTCTTTTTCTACCTGACCTCTGGTAACTTTTATGTCCATTATTGAGGAGCATGCTAGCTACTATGTTTTTTGAACAATTTCTTGTTTATGTTTTTTTAAATGTGTTTGTTGTTGCAGCATTGCAGTTTATTTTTGCACCTTGCCGCGGCAGTTGAAACCACTAAGTAAAAATGAATGTTTCACAAACTATCCATATAATATCAAAAAACATTTTTTTTCAGAGTGAAGAAATTTAGCTTTGCTCACGTTGACTTCTGAATCTTTGCAAAACAAATTTTGTCAGCGGTTGGTTAAAAAGGTGAATCACTTTTGCTGGTGGTGTCAGTGTAAAACATTATTGTGATTTTAGGAATAATTCTTCTTCTTATGTTTTCTATTGGATGGCAACCAATTTAAGGTGCATTTACCGCCACCTACCAGACTGGAGTTTGGTTATCAATGATGTCAGAGGCAAGTTATTAATTCATACCTCAATGGTATGCACGAATCTGAATGTTCTCTAACAATCAATATACAAACTCACATATAAATTAGTATGTGTGTTTATTTACATGCATACACACACTTATATTCTTACTTTAAATACGATTAAATAATCCAGTGTTTTTGTTTTTAATCTAATTAACTGATTTCTAGTAGAATTAGATTAACTTCCTAAAAGTTTTATCATTGAAAATCCAATTTTTTCTCTATTTAGTAATTACTTTAAGTGCTGAGGTTCCTGTGAATATTTATCACAATCTAATAATGCATGTTCCTACGGAAGAGGGTTAGTGCCACTGAAATTTTTTTAAAGTAAACTGATTTTTAAATATTTTTTCATTTTAGTATGGGAAAAAAGTCAGAATTCTGACTTTAATCTCAGAATTCTGAGTTTGATCTCAGAATTATGACTTTTTTCTCAGAATTCTGACAGCTACAAACATGTTAGCATCAAGTTGTAGCCATGTCTGTTTTAGAGACTATCTCTCTTGTTTTAATGACCTTCTGCTCTTCCATTAATAAGATGGGGACCCCTCTGGCACGTAAAAAGTCGCCTAATTTTGTTATTATCCACTAATGTGTAACTGGCCCTCTCAAACAACTCACATCTTTGTCAGTGAAGCTGAGTGCTCCCACATCTCTCCCTTCATGGTGCCCATCTACACTTAGATCCACAATTCTTAATTAAAGATTAAAGTCAGAATACTGGGTTTAAAGTCAGAATACTGAGATTAACATAATAATTCAAGTAATTTAATTATTTAATTATTATTTAATTTTTTAAATAATTAAAGTCAGAATTCTGAGGGAAAAAAGTCAAAATTCTGAGATTAAAGTGATAATTCTGAGTCAGAATTCTGAGATTAAAGTCAGAATCTGAGAAAAAAAGTCAAAAATCTGAGATTGAAATCAGAATTCTGGGATTACAGTCAGAATACAGAGATTGAAGTCAGAATTCTGAGGGAAACAGGTCAGCATTCTGAGATTAAAGTGAGAATTCTGAGATTAAAGTGAGAATTCTCAGATTAAAGTGATAATTCAGAGTCAGAATTCTGAGACTAAAGTGAGAATTCTGAGTCAGAATTCTGAGATTAAAGTGAGAATTCTGAGATTAAAGTGAGAATTCTGAGATTAAAGTGAGAATTCTG